CACACACACAAACAAACAAAATCCAGTTCCTCAATGACACTGTCCTTGGAGAAGTGACATCATTTTGGTAGGAAAAACTAAAATTTTTTAGTTTTTAAAAAACTAAAAATTCCATCTTATTATTATCAGGGTTATTATGTAACTAGGTTATGTAAAAGTAAAATTAAAACCAGTGGGGAAAAAAATGATTGAAATAAAAATAAACGTTAACTGAAAAAAAATTTTTTTTGTTGCCAAGACAACATTTTTCATTTTAATTTAGTTTAACTTGATGTACTAAATTAGCTAAAAATAAAACTGAAATAAAACTTAATAAAAACTATAAAGAGAAAAAAATCTAGTAAAAATGACAAAACACACAGGAAAATTACTAAAACTTCAACTTCAAATAAAAACAAAATATAAATATAATTATGATTCATAATATAATAAAAACTATAATTATACCTCAATACTACATTAACAGTTATAATAGGATATAATAATTATATTAAATGTTTCTCACATATTAATTTCTATTACGTAAAATTAGTTGAGACCCTTAAGCAATGACCAACTTTAGTTTTTTTGTGTGTGTTTTACAAGAAATACAAGTCTTTCTTCTTAAAAATTGCATGTTTATTTCTACACTTATCTTTTTTTTTTCAGTGTGCTTTTACATACTTTTGTGTTATCACTTTAAAGTTTCTATTCCTGAGGTTAACCAGAAAATATCATTCATTTTAATTACAAAGCTCAAATTTTATTACTTAACAAGAATTACCCAAATAATACTGTTATGCTGGATGTGTGCTCTTACTGTAAAGCTACAAGATGTTTGGTAATAGTTCTGGTTTTCTGTTTCACAAGACCCCAGTCAACACAGTGTATGTATGCTTATAAAGGTGTTGAGAACAATAGCCTGTTATTTTATATTATATCTTTACCAGGCTGGAAAAACACAAATTGGATGAGACACAACATAAGTTTATATGTACACATTTATTAAAGGAACTTCTTTGCAATGACAAATATGGCTCAGGAATGTGATTTTGCTCAAGGAAAAAAAAAAAAGCTACATTTTCTACCACAAAGTACACTTGACATGTAAAAGAGAAAAAACTATAAATAAATAACTTTGGTCATTACAAAATATATACATGCTGATATATATTAGACAACAATAAATAGGTTTACTTGTCCTGACTTTAATTTAAAGTTACTTTTCAGTTGTACACTGTAAAGAGCAACCAGAGCTGCTCCTATACGGTTAAACCACACAAACAGCAGTGAATAAATACGATTCCAGAATCACATAAGAACGTGAGTCAGACTCGGAGACGTCATTACTTCCGGCGTTTTCCCGCCACCACTCCGTGACTCACACACTAGCGCGATTTTTTTTCCCCAGAAGACGTGTTTTTACTCCATGTTTCTGCTTTCCTTATGGACGCGGTCCATTTTCTTTCTCTTTCCATAAAAGTCTACAAGAGAAGAAATTCACAACATTAAAAACATGAACATTGTGTGTGTGTGTTTTTTTTATATATATATTGTCATTGTTCTGTTATATGACTAGTATTATTGTTTACCTGTAATGCGCATGTCTGCGAGTCTCTCCGTCTGGACGCGAGCGACTGTTTTGTGAGATAACTTTCTCCGGTTACACTTGTTTGGCTGGTTCTTTTGGTTCAAAACTATCACTGAAGGACCCCCACATTTTGGGGGAACTTGTGTGATATTTTCTGTCGTGGGAAAGTCCATCAAAGGCGTCTTTGACAGGGCAGTGCTTTCTCTGTAAAACCCCGGACAGTCCTCCGCTCGACTTTCCTCCCATTTTAAATCCCCATCCAGCGGCTGCCCTTCGCCGAAATTGAAGTTCCACCTCAGCTGATCTCGTTCAGATATTTCGCGAAGTTTAGAAGACAATTCTCGCTTCAGCTCGTCGTGATCCACAGGTCCGAACAGATTTCGGCACGTTTCCGTGCGCTTCGTTAGCGGGAGAATCTCTGCGCTCCTCTGAGGAGCGGTTTTCCTTCGGGTCAGTCTTTCCCCGGCGATGGTGGAAAGCAGGACGGCAGACATCGTCGATAGTGCCCAAATCCAGAATAAAACGAGCCAAATGGGTGTGAGGGCAATCCCTAAGGGCAAAAAAGTCAGTGTGAATTACAACACACGTCGTTATAAATCGTAAAACTCCAGATCTGGCCGTGATTTAATCTCGTCAGATTTAAAATCCTGCGCCTCAGCGGTGTAAAACCACACGCTCCTCTCCTATTGGTCAACATCCTCAACTCCTGTGGTCTTGTTGCTAGACCCGCCTCTACTCGCCTGTGATTGGCTAGACCCGCATGTAGTCAGCTGTGATTGGTTGTGCCTCGCTGCCATACGCGTTTCATTTAAATATATCATTTTAGCGCCTTCCCCCCAGCCGCACACATTGCACCACCTGAAGTGAAATACATTAAAATAACGACAACAGTCTAATTAAACAGTATTTATAATCCAATACATCAAATAGCTATCAAAAAGTGTTAAAGTAGATGCTATTTCTAAAGAATATGTGTAGTCTGTGATATACAAAGCCATATACAAAATTAATTTGACAGTTTGATTGGAATAAAAGTAAAACACAATAAAAACATTCTATTCAAGTAACTTTTACTTCCTTCCACACGTCCTTCACTGACACTGTTTTGTCTTTGTTAAACAAGTAACTTCACTATAAATTATTTTATGATGATATTCGTATCAATTATTTAAATTTTGAAACAACGTGTTTATTTCACGCTTTTAAAGACATAATAATTTATATTATTACCATGGATTTTCATATTTTAATATTAAAATATTGGACAAGGGAAAAAACGATCAAATACATTGATTAAAGGATTTAAAAGAGGAAAAACTAAATCAGTGCTTTTTTAGTATATACATTTATATTATTATGAAATTAGAAACTTATAATAAAATTATAAAAGTATACATTTTTCAGTTCAGCGTTAATGTGACCTTTATTAATTTATATTATCATGAAATCAGAAACTTAAAATAAAATGATAAAAGTATAAACTTTCCAGTTCAGTGTTAATGTGACCTTCGCATAACAAAAAGAAAAGGGTTGAAAATCGTGTATAAAAATCAACCCCGGAGCCTTGAGTCCGTAGTTTAAAAAAACAAAAGAGAAATTATTCGTTTCTGTTCAGTATTTGCACTTTGTGTTTGTGAATAGTGCAACAGCGCCCCCTTTTGATCACAGTGTAGTAGTACGTACAAAAAAACTTTGAGGCAAATCTAAATAAGATCAGATAAGAAGTTAACGACCTTGGTAATTGTTGGCTTCAGTCATCATATTTATAATCTGTAACCTGTATGTCTAGTGGACAAATTAGACTCCTGAAACAAATACATACAAATACCCTGAATTTTTCGGTGCAATCTTGCTCTTCAACAAGCAAACATCCTCCTGGGACCCAGGCACAGACTTTTGTCCTCTGTAGAGGACATTATATTTTAGTGAATTTCTCTGAGGCCATACATGCCACAGTTTTAAGTCTGGATGTTTTGTACAGAGCACATTCAGGGCTTTTTAGAGATATGAAAAGTTTGGAAGCTTGATCATAAACACTCCCTCTCCTTGGTCTTTAAAAATGACTGATATTGACAGAATGATCAAAATGAGCACTCTTAGGGAAATATGATAATTTTGGGGAAACGCAATAAGTCAATAGGGAAAGAAATCATAGATTATTATCATGGTGTGCCCCGAGAACAATATGCAAATGAGATGCAATGTGTACAGTAGATACATTGAGTGGAAATACCAATTTATGGACATTTTACTCACATATTCCATAAAGTACAGTATATATAAAATCGTTCTGTTATGTCATAACATTGAGAATCATCCTTGTACAAAGTTTGGCTAAAAATAGCCTGATTAACCTAATTAACCTAAAAACTGATTGGTGAAAAAAATAAAACAGTTTTTGCCTATACATGCCTTTTCATGTCTTTTTTATTTTTTATTTGTATTTTTTAATAACTTAGTCTTGGCGTCCTCTACTACAAAGGACATAGAATAAAATATGAATAAAATATCGTTTTTCAAAAAAGTTTTTTCTCCATTTGTTTCTTATGCTCCAACCAATGTAATGACATAAAAAAACGTTTTTTTCTGGTTCTCAGGAGGTTATGAGAGAGAGAGTTAAGGCTTAGTAATAGTACAGGTTAACACTTACAATTATAAATAAGGGAACTGTGCTCTACTGAGAACCACTGACATGTTTAGACTAAGTGCTGTATTTGTGCTGACTGCTTTCTGAGAAGGCTTTTAGTGTTGTAAACACCATTACTACACCAAGCAGGAGATGTGTTTTGCATAAACAGACTGCTTACATAATGTATAGATATTATCATAGTCTTGCCTATTAGTTCCTGGTTTAATGTACTTTCCTCATACAAGGCTCTGGTGTCTCAGAATGTTTCCTGTGATCATGTGATGGAAATTTCTTATGATTATATAAACCTTTACATCACACCACATAATCCGTCATCCTGTATGCAAACCTGTAAAGACACGTTTGTTAGTCTTTATTTGAAAGATTGTTTGTGCACTCATGTTTAATGAACTTATGTGTATAATATATATATATATATATATATTGTTATATAAAGTATAATATAGGCTAGTATAATTAGTGTGTTTGTGTGTAGTGGCAGTGCATTGGGAAGGTTACTTTGGAAATTTAATAGGTTACAGATTACAAGTTATATTTAAAATGTAATAAGTAGTGTAACTATTTCAATTTGTAACTGATTAAATTTGATTACTTTTCTACATTTCTAACAAATGTTTTCAACTGTTAATCATTTTCAAACATTTATAGCAGGCAGGGTTAACATTACAGTATAGTGCTCAACACTGATTACTGTCAGACTTTCAGAATCCTTCATCACTTGAATTAAGATTATAATAATTTAATTTGAAAACACAGCCACCACAGAATCAGACTTTAGCACCTCTTTTTACTTTGAGATCTTTTTGAGGTTAAATAAAGATTTAAAATCATAAGATATAGTTTGATAGTTATGATACTGTGCTTGAAATCAAATCTTTGCATAGCTATGACAGAAAACACTGCCATCTAACAATGCTTTGGAAAAAAATAGCTAATCTTAAAAAAATAAAGCATACATAAATCAAAATAGGAAATAAAACCGTTATCAAAAGCATGTGTCCTATTCTGTGTGTGTCCCTCAACTCCTGAAACATCGGTGTCTCATATTTTAGAGCAGTCAATACAATTTGGGAAAGAAATCAATCAAATCTGTATGTGTGTGAAAATATTCAGATGTAGCCCCCTTTATAATCATTAACATTTTCATAAGTAACTGTAATTTAATTACAAATTTTTTCAGATTTCTCAGATCAGATTTAACAGATTACAGTTACATTAAAATATAATAAATGTAGTTACATGTAATTAGTTACTCGCCAACACTGTGCATGAGCTAATATTAGCAAGGCTTTTCTACACCTACAGCTATATCATATCACGTTACATAATTAAATGCATATAAATAAACAATAAATAATAAATACATAATGATGTGTTCATAACTGATTGTGGATGCAGAACAGAGAGGCATACAGTGCACATGGTTTGATGACCAAAAACACACATTTGTGTCGCCGCCTGTGGGATGAGCGGAAATGACGCCATGCCGCGCGACCTTAATTTGGTTATATTGTTCTGATGTGCACGAGAGGTGCGCGTGCGTCCGCCGCAGTCTGTAAAATCGTTTTATTGTTCCTCGGAGGATGGTGCGTTCGCGTTGCGTTCATACATGAAGCTCGAAGAGGTCATTTTCCTGCCGGTTTTCAAAACCTCGCGTCCATGAGCGACTGCTGACCCGGTTATTGCGCTCGCGCTCCGTTACCGGCCAGTGGCGAGACGCGCACGAGCTCCTGTGGCTCACCGTGATTTGAGTTGTTTTATGTTTTATTTACAGTTTAAGTCTCCGCACTGATGCGCTGTTTTAGTTAGTTCAGGTGAGTTTTTGTTGGGTTAGGTTAGTTAGTGAGTTATTCTGGTTTAGTTAGTTCAGGTTTAAATCTCAGCGCAAGTGAGTTGGGTTCGGGTTAGTGAGGATTGAGTTTTAATTTCGGGTGTGTTGGTCAGGATTAGTTTGGTTGTAAACCACAGCATGGGTATGTTGGGTTAGGGGTCCGGTTGAGTCAGTTCAGCACAGGTCTGTTGGGTTTAGTTCAGTTTGACTTGACGGGTGTGTTGAGTTACAGATAGTTCAGCTGTCAGCTAGGTTTAGTTCAGTTTGAAATCACAGGTGTTTGGTCAAATTTAGGTTGGAAGTCATATGTGTGTTGTGTTAGGGTAAGTTTGGTTCGTGTGTGTTGGGTTTCGATAGTTGTCAGTGAAATCACAGGTGGGTTCGGTTTAGTTCAGGTTTAGTTTAAGCTCTGCCGTGATGGCTAAAGGCGAGTGGAAGAGGTCTGGCGCTGATGATCTCCCGTTAACCGGCCGCTCTGAGTGTGAAGTGTTCGATGATGGAACCAATACATTCTTCTGGTGAGTTCACATCTCATGTTACGATAATAGATTATTATGTTTATTAGCTGATTGTGCTCTTTGATTTACCGTAATTGTTTTTCTTTATTATCACTTTTTAACAATTTAACACATACTTGCTGAATAAAAGCATTCATTTCTTTCAAAAAAAGAGAAAAAAATCACTGACCCCAAACTTTTGAACAGTAGTGTATATTGTTACAAAATATTTCTATTTTGAATAAATGCTGTTCTTTTTAAATTTTTATTCATCAAAGAATCCTAAAAAAGTATCACAGCTTCTAAAAAAAATTTCCAATATTGTTAATCAGCATATTAGAATGATTTCTGAAGATCATGTGACACTGAAGACTGGAGTAATGATGCTGAAAAATCAGCTTTGCATCAAAAATACATTATATTTTAAAGTATATTAAAATAGAAAACCATTTTAATTTGCTAAAATATTTAACAATGTTACTGTTTTTTTTCTGTATTTCTGATCAAATAAATGCAGCCATAATGAGCAGATGAGACGTCTTTAAAAAAACATTACAAATCTTACTGATCCCAAACTTTTGAACATCTGTGTGTGTGTGTGTGTGTGTGTGTGATGTCCAGAGACATCAGTAGTATGTTCAGTAGTATTACAGCTTTGCTCGGCTTTTCTCTCTTCTGCAACCTCAGCAGAAATT